CGTAAGCATATATATATATATATATATATATATATATATATATATTCTACAATATATACATATTTATATTCTACAATACCCTTAATACAATACCCTTGGGAAAGGTATAAATCCTCTTCTTCTTCCTCCAGCTATGGGTAAATAGCAGGACAGACTGGGTTCTATAGCCTTGGATGGCAACTGATCTAGGAGAAGGACAACTCTGAATTCAAAATCAGCGGAGAGTCGTTTGGGGACCTTGTGGCACGTAGTGCACCAGGTCTCTGTATTCGGCCCTTCAAAAAGTGTGGATGGTCCTGCAATGAAACCTTCACCACGATAATCAAATCTCATGTGCTGTTGTCGGGCTGTCGGTTTCCTAGGAACTGATCTGCTTGATTTTTTATACGTCGAATTCGACGGGAGAGTCGAAACGAGCTAACATATATATATATATATGTTCTACAATATATACATACATATATATATATATATATATATATATATATATATATATATATATTCTACAATATATACATTTTATATATATATATATATATATATATATATATATATATATATATTCTACAATCTACATTCAACATCATCACTTGATATGACATCAGTGGTGTTGAAACAAAATGGCTATTTTTGTAGTGATGTTATAACATATATATATATATATATATATATATATATATATATATATATATATAAAAAAGAACGAAGAGTAAGATTTTCAGCGTTCAAAACATTAATTTTAAACAGAGCTCAATACAAAAAGTAGAGCATTATTGCTCTACTGATTTTTGTATTTATTCTACATTTTGAGATAAGTTCACATCGTTTATTTAGTAGTTTGTACAATAGACTACCCAGAATGCACCACTGACCCATATATATAAATAGTAAAAAAAAAAAAAAACACTTGTGTCCTAATTATTGCATTTAGCATGAAACAGTCTGTCACCACTGAGTGTTGTCCAAAAAGTTCACTTTTATATTTACATACGCTCTATCCCTGATATTGAGCACTTTATCCCATAAATATAGCGTATCTCAAAACTATATTTCTTTATATATATATATATATATATATATATATACGATGCCATGTTTCGCTTTGAATTTAGACACCCCAACCTTACCCTGACTTGACCTCTTTGAATGTAACTGAGATATTGATACAAATTATTAACCCTTACGCCCCCACCTTTCTTTTTTTTTAAAATAATTTCTCTCGCCGTTACCATAGTAATTTTAATAATGAATATGCTTATGAAACGCGTAAATGTCAGGAATTACTTATTCAAAAAAAAAAATTCGCTTGAAGATTGAACAAGGCTTAGTACTTTAATTCAATTTAATTCAAATAATTATATTGAAGTTTTCGGCTCTTGTTTTGAAACATGAGAACTCTTATGTAGCGTGTTGGAATCGTATTTTTAAATAAATAATCATATTTATGCTCTACTATTGTATCGAGAACTGTTTTTTTTTAAATATTAACAAAAATACTAAAGAACTTTGGATTATTTACCTAACGAGTTCTTCCCTATTTTCTATATATTTTTACACACACACACACACACACACACACACATATATATATATGTATATATATATATATCGGTAATTTCCCTCTGATTTGCCGTTATCATTATATATATTATATATAGTCGGTCTGAAATTCTCATCTTTGCTCGTATTGTTAGAATGTTTCGGCCGCGATACTCTCCGGCTTTCTTCAGTTGTCGATCCGTTCAACTTTTATTTTCTTTATCTGAGGTACTTTATCAAGGTAAATGCAAAGATTTTATTTTGTAACGAGTATTTATAAACAAGAGCAAAAATGTTGTCTGTTTTCACTTTCTAAGGTCGAAGAATGCCTGCAAACTATGGTGATTATTCATATGTTTAAAGATAATGGAAGCCTTTTTATAAAACAGTACAGACTTAGGCTCAGCATTAGTAAATTTGAAACTTGTTGCAACGTATTAGAAGTGTTTTGAAGACACGAAATTACTAATACTCCTATACAACACATGTTAGAAGACAAACACAAAACAACGAAGCCCTTGAAAATGGCAGAAAACGATTGGGATATGCATCATTACAGACAGTTTCTAGACTATCTTACTTCTCATAAAAGAAAAACTTTAATGATCCTAGAAAGACTGAATATAACTTATAAAAAAAATTCCGTAACCGTCACATTCAAAGAAACAAATAGATATAATATAGATTTTGTGCTTGTCGAATAAAAGTCTCTTTTTTATTTAGTCGGTTACCTGCGAAACATGTCAAATTAAAAAAGTATTCAAACTCGTCACATTCTGGGTAAGACGATAAAGCCAACAACAAGACCTCTGATCAGGAAATTTTAAGGAGCCAACTCTTAATTTCTAGAGTTCCAAGTCCACCCTGACCCGGGATTATAACACCTTTCAATGATAATGTTATTAAGCTTATCAGACAATATGAAAGGGTGTCCTGGGTATGACGATAAACTACATCCGCGTCTTGGGTATGACGATAATCAACATCCGCGTCCTGAGTATGACGATAAACTACGTCCAACAACAAGGCTTCAGATAAAGTTTTCGGAAAAATAATGTTGAAAGCTATACGTTTTTGGGAAAAAATAATGTTGCCAGCTATACGTTTTTGAAACAATAATGTTGCCAGCTATACGTTTTTTTTTGGAGAAAGTAATGTTGCCAGTTATACGTTTTTGAAACAATAATGTTGCCAGCTATACGTTTTTTTGGAGAAAATAATATTGCCAGCTATACGTTTTTGAAACAGTAATGTTGCCAGCTATACGTTTTTTTGGAGAAAATAATATTGCCAGCTATACGTTTTTGAAACAATAATGTTGCCAGCTATACGTTTTTGAAACAATAATGTTGCCAGCTATACATTTTTTTGAAACAATAATGTTGCCAGGTATGCTTTTTTGAAACAATAATGTTGCTAGCTATACGTTTTTTTGGTAAAAATAATGTTGCCAGCTTTGCATTTTTGAAACAATAATGTTGCCAGCTATGCGTTTTTGAAACAACAGTGTTGCCAGCTATATGTTTTTGAAACAATAATGTTGCCAGCTATGCGTTTTGGAAAAATAATGTTGCCAGCTATATGTTTAATAGTACTGTATATTTAATATATATATATAGGTATATTTGTATGTATGTATATGTGTATATATATATATATGTATGTGTGTATATATATATATGTGTATATATATATATATATATATATATATATATATATATATATATATATACCTTAATTTGGCATTAAATGACCCACAGTGGTTGATATGCCATAAAACCCAACCAACTAATATGAAAGGAAGTTACTTAATAGGCAACTCTTGTCTATATTATTTAATGAAACATGCATCAATGAAAAATTGCTACCTAACGATACACAATATATATATATATATATATATATATATATATATATATATATATATATATATATATAATTAAATTTTGAAAGTTTTTTGTTGAAAAATTATTTCCGTCCTATCCTTTTTTTACCGTCATTCATAATCACAAAATAGAAAAAAAATAAGAGATGAATTAAATCATGTGCACTTAGCAACACAAAGATACGAAACAAATTAAAAAAAAACTCATGCAAAGTACAACTGGGATATTGAAATTCACTAAATTTCTGCAACCAATCGAAATTCTAAACCATACCAAAAACTAACACGAACTGTGGAAAATTCTTTTACATCAAACAAATCTACTAATAGTTCCTGCTTCCCCTTCGATGCTAGCACCTGTTAGGGTCCCAGCTACGGGCAAATACTTGCCCCCTACCCCCACAACATGTATCGTTGGCAATTTTACTATAAAAATATATTTCTATACTTTCATAATGTTTTTTTTTTTTTTTGAAGTTATTCATGGTTAAGTCCCCTGAAAGCTCGTTGGTCTCTACGGTGGATTTTACTTCATATGGGGGCGCATCGCCAAAGCCTACCGAATGTTATATCTTCCTTAAAGACTCACAAAATCCAGGCCAGTAGTTGTCATTTAAAAACACAGCTGTCTGCTCAACCAGGTGTATCAACTAAATATAACGTCCCACTGATTCAAACGTTCTCTTTTCGACTATGCATACTGAAACAGCTTGCGATATTAACGATTGGTTTGGTTGGTTGATTTTCTATAGTGACATATCAACACCACTATGGGTTATTTAATGCCGAAATCTAAACATTTTAAACGTAATCGCCCCGCTTTCCACTCCAGATAAAATATATTGTAGGCCATTTTGCTATAAATTACATTATTGCAAGTACTACTATAAATATGTATTGTTTGGTTTAGCTTGATGTGGTTTCGTTTGTTTTACGGCATACCAACCTCAATGAGTTACTTAATGCCGACATTTTTTTTTTTAAATGTATTGCTGGTCATATTTTTTTTTCAAAAAATGTATTTCTGGTAATATTGTTTATTCAAAAATGTATTGCTGGCAATATTTTTCTTCAAAAATGTATTGCTGGCAATATTTTTTCCAAAATTCATTGTTGGTAATATCTTTTTGTTTTTACAAAAATGTATTGCTGGTAATAATCTTTTCAAAAAATTATTGCTGGTAACCTTTTTACAAAAACATATTGCTGGTATTAAAACATATTTTTATACTATCATAGTGTTTTGACCCCAGTTTGTGAGTTAACTATTTGCCTATAGCTGGGACCTTAACAGGTGCTACCACGGCGAGTCAGGGTGGACCTGGGAACACCAGTAATTAAGAGGTGGTTCTACGCTCTTCAAAACCTCCTGATGAGAGGCCTTGGTCTTGAATGTAGTTTATCATCTTACTCAAGACGCGGATGTAGTTTATCGTCATACCCAGGACGGTATGTATTTTTGATAATTTTGCTATAAATATGTGTTGTTGGTCAGAAGTAGTAGACAAAAAATAAATAGCGAATAACGATAAAGAAATAGAGGAAGCATAAAGAGAATAAGAAAGGCGAAGGAAACTTAATAGAAGAAGAAGAAGAAGAAGAAAAGAGGAGGAGGAGGAGAAGAAGAAGAAAAAGAATGAGAAAAAGTAGAAGACGAACAAGAAAGAGACGTAGGAGTTAAGGGTAAAAAAGAAGACGAAGAAAAAGAAACACAACAAGAAAGAAAGGGATGGAATATGAACCAGATAAAAGAGAAGAAGAAGAAGAAGAAGAAGAAGAAGAAGAAAGATGAGGAGGAGGAGGTCTAGGATGAGAAAAAGTAGGTGAACAAAAAAATGAACGGGTTAAAGATGGAAAAGACGACGAAGAAACGAACGAAGAAAAAGAAACACCTCGAGAAAAAAGAAAAGGAATATGAACCAGAGAAGAAGAAGAAGAAGAAACACGAAAAGGGGGACAACAAAGAAACAAAAAATCAATAGATAAAGAAAAGCAAAGAAAGCCAAAAAGAAACAGAAGAAGAAGAAAGAAAGAAAGAAAGACGAAAAGGGGGACAGCAAAGAAACAAAAAATCAATAGATAAAGAAAAGCGAAGAAAGCCAAAAAGAAACAACAGAAGAAGAAGAAGAAGAAGAAGAAGACGAAACAACAACAGAAGAAGAAAAAAAAGGCGAAAAGGAGACAAAAAAGAAACAGAAAGAAATCAATAGACAAAGAAGAAAAATCAAATAAAGAAAAAAGAGGAAGAGGAATAAGAAAGAAAAGAAAAGAAAAGAATTTGTGTTGATTGAGAAAGATTTTTAAGAGACTAACATAAAATGACGCCAATGTTTATTCATGTCCGTTGAGAATAGTGGAAAGCCTTTCACTAATGGCGTACAAGTATGACATTATTTGTTCGCGGTGTTTTCCGCCATTACATGCAGGTAAGGCGACTGGGCAGCTGTAAATATACGCGAACAAGCATACACACTATAAGAATAAGAGAGATACTTACGATTTTATTTTGAGAAATACTGCCATTGGTCAATATCATATATACAGAAAACAAATGGAAAATGTCTTCTTTTTTATTTATTTATTTTTTTTTTTTCAAAAATGAGACATTTCTGTACAGAATAATGGTAGCTAATAAAGATAAGTAAAGTCATTTTTCAGATCCAGCGACATCAGATTAGCTAACAAAAAAAAATGTTTGGAGTTTCGACACCATTTTATTTTTATTTTTTGACCAGTGACTTGTTATTCTAGATTTAATATATTTTATGTAATAGAGATTTTAACAAAACCGCAAAACAATTAGAGAACTCTTCTCGGAACGTAAATTTAAATAAGTAAAGTGAGTATAATTTTTCAGGTCAACTTATGAATAACCTGATATAAAATTATGAATATCCACTTGCAAATACAAGTGGCATTATCTACAATGTAAGAAAGATTAGATGGCAAAGAAAAAGAGACACATATTTTATATTAGTAATATTCCTACGTATTTTATAGTTTTTAATTGATTTTTCTTTTGTATTGTCATTTCATAACTTATTAATAAGTTTGTAATATTTTCAATAGAAGGTTTTTATTTTTTATTCATTTTGTAAACTTGTACTTTACAATGGGATGTCTTTAAAATCACAAGTCCATCGATGGATGATTAGTGTATTGGATATGTAATATAATTGTAAATGTTTATTTACCTTCCAAGGACAACAAATGACAAGAACTAAATAAATAAAGCACTGTCATTTGCACTAATAAGATAATATTTATTACCTTCCAAGTACAGAAAAGTACAAGAAGAGAAAGAGCTAAATAAAGCACTGTCCTTGGCAATAGTAATATAATATTTATTACCTTCCAATTACAGAAAAGTACAAGAAGAGAAAGAGCTAAATAAAGCACTGTCCTTGGCAATAGTAATATAATATTTATTACCTTCCAATTACAGAAAAGTACAAGAAGAGAAAGAGCTAAATAAAGCACTGTCTTGGCAATAGTAATATAATATTTATTACCTTCCAATTACAACAAAGTACAAGAAGAGAAAGAGCTAAATAAAGCACTGTCTTGGCAATAGTAATATAATATTTATTACCTTCCAATTACAAAAAAGTACAAGAAGAGAAAGAGCTAAATAAAAACACTGTCCTTGGCAATAGTAATATAATATTTATTACCTTCCAATTACAACAAAGTACAAGAAGAGAAAGAGCTAAATAAAGCACTGTCATGGCAATAGTAATATAATATTTATTACCTTCAATTACAGCAAAGTACAAGAAGAGAAAGAGCTAAATAAAAAGCACTGTCTTGGCAATAGTAATATAATATTTATTACCTTCCAATTACAGCAAAGTACAAGAAGAGAAAGAGCTAAATAAAGCACTGTCCTTGGCAATAGTAATATAATATTTATTACCTTCCAATTACAGCAAAGTACAAGAAGAGAAAGAGCTAAATAAAGCACTGTCCTTGGCAATAGTAATATAATATTTATTACCTTCCAATTACAGCAAAGTACAAGAAGAGAAAGAGCTAAATAAATAAAGCACTGTCCTCTGCAATAATAATATAATATTTATTACCTTCCAAGTACGACAAAGTACAAGAAAAGTAAGAGTTAAAGAATTAAAGCACTGTCATTTGCTATAATAATATATTTATTACCTTCCAAGTACAACAAAGTACAAGAGAAAGAGCTAAATAAATAAAGCACTGTCCTTTGCAATAATAATATAATATTTATTACCTTCCAAGTACAACAAAGTACAAGAAGCGAAAGAGCTAAATAAATAAAGCACTGTCCTTTGCTATAATAATATAATATTTATTACCTTCCAAGTACAACAAAGTACAAGAAGCGAAAGAGCTAAATAAATAAAGCACTGTCCTTTGCAATAATAATATAATATTTATTACCTTAATACAACAAAGTACAAGAAGCGAAAGAGCTAAATAAATAAAGCACTGTCCTTTGCTATAATAATATAATATTTATTACCTTCCAAGTACAACAAAGTGCAAGAAGAGAAAGAACTAAATAAAGAACGGTTGGCATTCAAGTGATTTCTTTTTATAAGATTACACGTGTAAACTACTCCTACTGAATGTTTAGCTTACGACCAAATCACGTTGAAACATTGGTTCCCGTACGATCACCGGGGTTAAACAACATCGAGCCTGGACATATGTAGATGGGTAACCGCTTGGGAACACCAGGTTTTCTAAGCTTGGATGTGCGGTGGTGTATTGGATAATGGTTCGGAATTGTTAACCGGAGAGCCGTGTTCGCATTCCTAGTCGGGTTGCTTATATTCAGATGCACAAATACCGTTGGGAAATGTATGAATCCACCTCTTCTCCCCCAGCTATGGGTTAACTAGTAAGATTTGTATCACTAAATCATAATTATCTCAAAAGAAATCCCACAATCTAAAAGAATTTTTCGAAGTGGTGTTCCAATAACTTGGACCGATTTTAAATGTGATTTAAGTTTAACCATCTAATGATCGTTTTTTTCTTTTTCTTAATAACTTAAGTCTTTGGCAATTTCTACCATGGAAAGATTAACAATCAAACAATGTGTTAAAGTTATCGAAGCCTATTACGAAAATGGACGTTTAAACAAAAATGCATTTCGCGCACTTCGCGATTTTTGGGGTCAGCATAATCGACTCACCGAGATTGCAATTGGAAACGATGTAACGTCGTTATGGAGAGGTTTAATTCCTGCACGCGAGGACGAATAGAGGGGGGTCTGGATTTTAGGTCACATTCCCGTGCACTGCTGCAATGTTTTCAGCTGAACGCGGTAAACGAGCACACAATGATGTTTTCACATTTGCCACCGACCAAATTTGTTTGAATTTATGAATAATTTTTCCAATTACACTCTTGAAACTTTAACACGTTGTTTGATTGTTAATCTTTCCATGGTTAAATTTGCCAAAGACTTAAATCTGAAAGAAAAAAAAAATTAGACGCTTAAACATAATTCACATTTAAAATCGGTCCAAGTTATTGGAAAACCCTTAAGTTTTAAATAACTTACAAAGGGTTGATAAGACGTAAAAAACGAATAAATAAATAAAAAAACATAGGTAGGTTTGTCATTTGTCGCCTCTGGTAACTATACTTAATAGGGTGTTTATATTTAATTCGAGCATTTAATTGTATCACTAAAGCATTATCATGCCCCCAAAATATTACCTTCTAAAAATATTTTCTCGCTTTAGATAACCTGAAAAAGTGTCGATAATCCGCAGAAAACGAAACAATCTATGCATCATACTTAAGACATAGCATGTGTAGCAGTGATGGGATATGAATTAGTTTTACCAATGAAAGAAGAATATGAATCTACAGGGCCTTTTGTTGTTGATTGTAGGGGGGATAAAAATAAAATCAGTATATCATGGTCTCTTAAATTAATTTGAAAAGACCTCAAACTATTGTTTTTGGCAATATTCTGTGAGATTGGCTTCTCATCCAGAAGAATCAAGACAAAACTCGACATTTTTGTAAGTGGCACTGTCTCCAAATTTCGAATAGTTTTAGACAGTTAAATTTTAGTTAAATCAAAATCTACATCAGTTTAGCATAATTTATAAAGAAATAAAACTCTCCTTTTCATTTCGATATTTTAATATCTGTCTATACTTCTGAGATGAGGTATTATGTACACTATTTACATTATTCGGACTATTGTCCTCATCTTTGTCACCATATTTATTACAACGTTTCGGCCTTTCAGTATCTGTCTATACTTCTGAGATGAGGTATTATGTACACTATTTACATTATTCGGACTAGTGTCCTCATCTTTGTCGACATATTTATTACAACGTATCAGCCTTTCAGTATCTGTCTATATTTCTGAGATGAGGTATTATGTAAACTATTTACATTATTCGGACTATTGTCCTCATCTTTGTCGCCATATTTCTTACAACGTTTCGGCATTTCAGTATCTGTTTATATTTCTGATATGAGGTATTATGTACACTATTTACATTATTCGTACTTGCTATATGTTTGCTATATTTATCACAACGTTTCGGCCGTTGTACGTTCCGGCCTTCTTCAGGTGGTTGGAATGTCGAATTGAACCCTTTACTTCGCCCTCTGGGTTAGACTGTTCTAGTTCCACGTGCCATGTCTAATGGATGTCAGTTATCAGTTATCTCCTGTTAATTCCGCTCTCTAAGTTGCTTTTCTCTGGCACTCCTTCTTACTTGTTTCCATATTGTAGATAAATGAATAGAATATGAGAACCAGTAATAAAGTGTGCCATAGAAAAAATCAATAATAACAACGAAAATTGCAATATGATCTCTGGTAAAAAAAAAAAAAAAATGCAATGATAACAGAAGAATTGCAATATAAGCACTGGTAAAAATAGTTACTGAAGACATTAGGTTTATAATACCCAGAAATTCATACACAGATGTCCTCAAGGACACATGGCATAGTGGATAAAGGCGTTACTTAGTGACAGGACCCAAAAAGTGTGAGTTCAATACCTGGTTAAGGCGGTGGAGAAACATTCCAACCACCTGAAGAAGGCCGGAGCGTACAATGGCCGAAATGTTCGGATAAATATGGCAACAAAGATGAGGACGGTAGTCCGAACAATGTAAATAGTGTCGATATTTTAATGCTAAAATATCCTGCTTCAATCGAAAATGATGAAAAGGTACTTCTCCTTGATTAACCGTAATCCCAGATGTAATTTTCCTCTATCCCCAAATTTTTCCACCATTACGCGCAACAGATTTATAAAGAAAATTATGAAATTTTCCACAACAAGACAAAAGTATTTCCTCGGTATGACGATAAACTACATCCGGCAGTAAGGCCTCTGATCAGGATGTTTTGAGAAATGTGGAACCACCTCTTATTTGCTGGTGTTCCAATGTCCACCATGATCCTGGGTGGTAGCATCTGTTAGGTTCCCAGCTATGGACAAAT